ACGGGTGAAGAAACCAGAGAAGAAGAAGCGATAACTTCAGAGACTCGGTGAGAAAGTTCGTGATCGGGACGAGGAGCATAGAGCTGGCTTCTGATCTGCCGTGAGCCCGTGCTCGAAGCGAGGATAACGGAACGCAGCGGGACCACGGAGAAGAAAAGGAGTGTCGGCTCCGCGAAGAGGGATTTTTAGAGACTGTCTCCACCTGCCTTGTGAGCAGACCGCGTCAGTTGGGAGTTGCTTGCTAGCGCGGCTAGTTAGCCTCGTCTACAGTTACCCTCCCCCCATCCTTCAAGGTTTGCCTGCCTCCTCTCCACCAACTGATCCCCTGGCATCGTCACCCCCTCGTCTCCATCTCTCCTTCTCCATCATCAGGGAAGTCACTCCACCACACCTTCTCCATCATCAGGGAAGTCAACCACATGAGCTCCAACCCCGGGCAACTTGGTACCATTAGTGTCACGTATAGGAGTGAATTCAGTAATTTACACATATGGAAATATTGTATTTATGATTGTTTATGTGATGTAATAAATTTACACTGTTCATTGTTTTATCCCTTTGCCCTTCCCAGTCATTTTAGTGAGTGTCCACAGTATCTTTTTTATGTCCATAGTGGGACGCCTGCGGTAGTRGCTAGCGGCCTAACTTTATTAGTTTATTTGTACAGTTGGGTTTAGGGGGCTTTAGTGTGCCGCCATACATACAGTATAGGTTTGTAGCCCTCCGCTACAATTTGGTCCTTCGAGCCGGATATATAAGGCTAGCACCGCCGCAATGGCTAGTAGTGGACACTCTGTAGGAGATAGCAACCCTCCCCATCCAGAACGCCCCAGACGTGACAGACTACTCCCTAGACATTTCGATGATTATGACGTTGAGTTACCCCCCAGATTGGTTGCAGAACCGCTGCATAGCCGTAGCATGAGCAGCCTCGCTTCAGCTCAGACCAGCCGCATGTTGGACCTGTCTGTTAGTCATAGCTTAGGGGACATAGCTAAGCTAGATGCCGCTCGCCTTACACTCTTCAGTAAGCCGCRTAGGTCTGACGTTGACTACACTGACAAAACCCACAGAGGGCATGACAGAGGCAGGACACAGTCACGTCCAGACAGCCCCAGCTTAGTACACCCCTCAACGTCAGGGCGAAATGACAACAACGAGCTACTGGAGCTACTTAAACAGCAGATGGTAGCTATGGAAAGGGCTGCACAACGCCAAGCAACAGCATGGTCAGAAAGGGAGCAGCTACAGTCTGAGAGAGAGGCCCAACGTGAGCGCCTACAAGCCGAACGAGAACGGCTCCAAGTTGAGCTGCAGTTACAGAGAGAGCAGATGCAAGCTCAGACCATAGCAGAGCTAGCTAAACAACAAGCCGAGCGAGAGCGCATGCAGGCCGAGACCTCTTTACAGTCTATCCAGCTACTGACCGAAGCCCTCCAGAACCGGTCCGCCAGGCCCTCCGCCCAATCCTCCAGGAGGACCTCACGCCGAGGGTCAAGACAACATTCCCCAGAACAAAGAGGCTCCGGGAGACGCAACGAACAGGATCCATTACTTGGCATCAAGGAGGAAACCGGAGAGGTAGCCGCTGAGCTGGCCAGCAGACTACAGAAACTGGAGGACGAAATGCAAGACAGGCCAACCCCCCAGTGTATCGTAGCCCCTGATGCTAGCCAAGCACCCCCACAACCGAGTAGTCGGAACATGGCACAACCCCCTCTAGCAACCTGTGCACTGCCCAGGCCCAATCAGGCCGGCCCCACACCCGCCGACACAGGTCAGTTTACTCCTCCATCGAACAGTCAGTTCCTAGAGCCTCGTCCTAGTCTCATGCCCCGGCCGGTAGCCCCGTACGTAGAGGAGACCACCTTTCCGAACTTCACTAAAGAGGATAGATCTCAGTACACAGAACTGCGTATGTGCCTGGAGACTCTTCTTACTGCCTCCCAGGATGAGAGGTACAAATATGCCCTCCTGTTGAGGCACGTCAAGGTCCCACGTGCTCACAACATAGCCTTAGCATACGCTCACTCTACCACGCCCTACTCAGATGCACTAGCTGCCCTCGACGACCGCTATGGGCGGCCTTGGGACTTTGTCCTTCAGGAACTCAGAGAAATAGAAAAGCTCCCACCAGTCAAAGATGACAGAGCCCTTGACGACCTGTCCGTCAGAGTGCAGTCCCTAGTAGGGATGCTCCAGTCTCAACAGCAGAAAGGGTTTTGTGAGCTCTATGCCAGCTCCAATGTGGAGCGAATCTTGAACAAACTCCCGAAGTTCAGACAGGAGAGGTTCAGGCGGCAGCGAAATCACCTCCCGGCGTCTCAACCCGATCTATCCCTGATTGACCTTTCAAACTTCCTTAGAACGGAGGTTCGGAATCTGGGTATAGACCCATCCTTACGGGGCGGCTCGGATCCTCGAGATGGAGGAAAAAGGGCCAAGAGCCAAGGGAGGC